GCCATTGAAATGGCCCTTAGGTTCTCACTCTCAGGCATACTCTTTGATTTCTTGGTTCCTCCAACTATAGTTCTTCGATTGCCAGCTCGATTAGGTGCTAGTTTCAATTTCTCTGCATATTCACAGAGAGGATTACTTGGTGGCAGTTTTGGGGTAGTGGCCTTTGCTGGAGTAAATGCCGCTTGCTGTTCTGATTGTGGTGACGGGGTTTGAGTTTTCTGCGTTTTTTGCAGGAACACAGGCGTCGATAACCTTTGTGGTTCCCTTAGGGGTATCTTATGGGCCTCGTGTGTCTGTTGTAACTGCGGGCTATGTTGCTTGAAAATCGACTGAACTGATCTTGGTGGGGATCTAGAACAAGGAGCTGTTTGTGGTAGAGGTCTAGTGTCCGTGGCAATAGTTAAAGGTTCTATTATTGGCTGAGGTGTGGCTTCTCGTAGTGTTATTGTAGGCGGAGCAATTTCTAAAGGTAGTTCGTTAGGAGTTTCTATGGTTGAATTTTGCATGGATTGGTTCTGAAGGGGTTCCTGAATGGGAGCCAAAGGAGACTGAGTTTTAGTATCTGCGACTGATTGTTCTTGCTGCTTAGGGTAAACCGGGGGCTGCAAAACTGGCTGAGTAATAGTGAAAGGTGGGTATTGTGGTGGTGTCACATGGAATTGGGGCAAAATGTAAGGTTGCTGGAGGGGTTGGATGATAAATGTTCTCCCACCAAGATCTCCACTTAATAGAGCTTGAAGAGCTGACGGATCTTGTGCAATAACGGCAAATGCAGGTTGATTAAGTGAATTAGTAGGTTGCGGTTGCATTTGAGGTTGGAAAGGAAGTTGATGTGGCTGTTGGAGAACTGTCGAGGTCGTAATTGCCGAGTTCGTTTGTGTTTCAACTGAGGCACCAACTGGGATACTAGTTCTATTTTGAATTGATATTCCATTTTGTGAAGATGCAGGGGTGGTCGTTCGGTGGTATGCGGACTGGGTTAGGACGGCCGGGATCTCTGCTAAGGCTAAAAGTGAAATCCCAATGCTTGAGATTCTAAACTTTTCAACAGGCTAGTGCTATTTTGAACTACGTATCAAATCATCGATTACTGATTTGCAAATACGCGTCATAAATTATTGAAAATCCATAATAATAACAAGCATTTTATTGGATTGGGCAACGGGATATTTTAATGTCGGTATGCCATACGTGATTGGTTGATTTAAATGCACACTGTTGGTGTACGTGACGAATACACATGCGTTTTATTTATTTGTAAATTTACCACAAATCCGATGAAATTCGAAAGAAGAAACTGCTCTACAGATGATTAAATACGGCACATATGAAATAAGTTTAGATCTCAAATAGGCCTCTGAATATTTATTCATATCAAATAGCATGCTTTGTGACAGTTATCATTAGCTCTTTAGTTGTCTTCGGGCTTCACAGAGGGGAGGAACATCAAAGCCATAAAAAGTTGAGAGGGAAAACAGATGATTCACAGATACAATAAACACATACACAAAAGTAGAGAAAAAGATAAGGCAAGTACTGAGGAAGTGGTGAAATATGACAAACAGTGATGTCATGGTAGTTTGAAGACAAACGTCAACTCTCAGTTTATAGACTTTTGCCGTATGAGTATACGTTGTCCAGGGTGCACCACGTGGAGGTAAGTCTATCGTACACTTTAAGGATAGACGTTTGGCTTGATACTCCTTGAAGCGGATGATGTTAATATTAGGGTAAAAATACTCTTTTGAAATTAGGAGTTATTTGCATCAATATAGATGAAACAGCGTTTGTGAAATGCTTCATTGATGGTTTATTTAGCAACACTTAATGGGGCACCTTTATTGTCAAAAGCTGTATAAGTGGCAAGTGGGTAAACAACAGAATTATTAAATTAAGAAAAGTATTCGACAGGTTTACTGGGAAAATTCATTCATTAGCCATAGTCCTTGAAACGGCCATTTTCACTATAAAGTTGTTCGAAATTCGCGTTAATAGAGGAATTACTACTAACCATAAGCAGTAGTGTGCTTCCAATTGGTTTTAAAAATTACACTGAGGCCCATCTTTCGGAAAATGAAATGAACTACACTTAATTTATTAACCATTATTTAAAATCATATGCGGTCTAAAAAATCATAATATGTAGACAAGGTAAAAGAGGTCATAAATTTTTGCATGTTGAGAATTCTTTATTGTTCATTACACTGTACTCTCCTTTAACCCTTGAATGTTATTTATATTAGTTGCTTATTTAAATCGAATTTATATATTTTTAAAAGTTCCTCTTTCGTGTGTAGCTTTGTCGCAGGCTGGAGGATAGCGAATAGAAAATTACTTTGAAATTGACCTGAGGGAACTAATTGGAGCAAATGATTAAAGTTCATTACTTCTGACCAAAACCCGAAAAACTTATTAAAGAAGGCATTAAGATGGAAAGATTAGAAATGGCGATTTCCTAAGCAGTAATCTACAACAGGTAGTCAGCAAAGACAATCTCAATAGAAGAGGAGGCTCCATGAAAATCAGAGAGTTGTCAGTTAGCAGTTAAAATATTTAAGGGCTCCAAATCCGCATTTCAAAAGTGATTAATTACTCTTCTCATTGCTTCATTTATTAAAAATCTATCTCCTTTAACTAAAACTCACATGCTTTATGAGTAAAACATAGGGTTTTCTTAGATTCTTCTTAACAAGATTAATAAGGTAAAATTCGCAATTTATTTTACTATTTTGAATTATTTGTATAATAGAACTTCTCTTTCTTTGACTGAAGACATTATTTGTTTCTTCGACCAAATCCCTCAAGATCTTACTGACGAAATGCATTAGCCAGTCACGTGGTGTGTTTTAGAAAACGATTCTTTTTAAGTCGTGCCTGAAAGCGAGATCTCCTCGCCAACGAATCCCCATATTCATTTAGAGAACGAAAGATTAGTATTTTATTCTGAGAAGAAAACCAGAGTTTTCAATATATAGTTTGGCTGTATAAGTTGGCCCCATAATTTAATTTCTTATTGATTTTAACAACAAATTTACTGATTGAACCTTGCAACAAATGCCTTATTTTGGGAAGACATAATGCAAATACGTTTCATAGTTATTGAGCATGTTGTTTAGAAAGAATTCATTTAAATCACCCGAGGTAAATGGCAATTAAAATTTTGCATCGCCTTGTAAGTGAATGTTCGCGTTGGACATGAGATCCATAAATTACAACTATTTCAGTTTAAATAGTTTTGGCAGATTGCCTCAAATTATTTAGACGAATGGGATTTGAAGAAATCGGTGTTTTCCAAATAATAGCATTTAAAGATAAAAAAGTTTAATGAAGGTGATATCAAGTCAGGTATCAACTCCAATTAGTTTCTAAATATCAAACGTGAATCGATAAATCAAAGTTATGTCGAAAGTTTTATTCTCAGTTATCGTTGGACGAGATTTATAATGTCGTATTTGTACCAAAATACCCCTTTTCCTATTACTGTAAGTCTAAAAAATTGAAGTGTTTATAATGTGGTCCACCTTGGACCTACTATAAAAGGCAGAATTTTCTAACCACTTCGATTAAGTGAATTATGGTAGTACAAAGTACACATTATACTGCTATTGTGTTTGTTAAAAAAATAAATACAATATTAAACATGACACAATTAATAGTTAGAAGGAATACATCGGCCCGTAACACATCGGTACTATCGGAATCAAAGTTTGAAACCCGAATTTTGGAACATGGAGCAAATAAATGCGCTGAAAATGGGAAGCAAAATGTCGAACAAAAAAGTGAAATAAATAAGATTCATTTGATACGGGCAGATTATTCTTAACTTCCACTTGGTACCTTCCATTTATGCTTAATTTATTGTTTACCCGTTAGTTGAGTTCTGATTCTTTCCCAGGGATGTTGTACCAAAATTTATAAACCACCTGCTAAGTAATTCTTGAACTTATTATCAGTGTAATATGTTGTTAAGAAACCATTTAGAGGGTGGCTACAACATAAATCCTATTCCCATTTTCACATTAAACTCACTAAAACGGCTACTAATGACCTCCATTATAAAGTTTGATTAAAGCAGGCTTCTATAATCATAGCGATGAATAACTAAATCTTGATTTAGCCCACATTTTATTCTGAACAGTTGAAACAAGCATTAGTAGCAAACACCACCAAACGGAGTTCTGGAGTCTTAATAATAAAGCGACTTCTAATGCGCTTTGATCTTGTTATGTTCCCAAATTGGATCGAATTTGATTGGCATAGGGAAAAGGTCTCCTTTGGTTTGTGGGGAAGAAAAATAGAGGTAGATATTGCACACACGCGAACTTTAGGGACATGTGCTGCAGTCACATTTTGGCCAGTGGTGTGATAAGGAAAGTCCGAAATGTTGCCGAAAGCTTGACGAGACTGGGATAAGCAAGGGGAGTAAGGGGGGAACATTAAAATCCAAAATGAAGGAAGACATCAAATTTAAAATTCTAATTTTAAATGCATTGACTGCAGGAGTCATGTTTATAGCCTAAGATCCCTTTTTGAAAAATTGCATCACTGAAACAGCAAAATGTCGAAACAATTGACTTCAAAGTTTTCTTCTTAAAGTCCTTTAAAGAACTAATAAACAGGCTTTATTTTAGCTAATCTATTTCATTTTATTTCAAACTGAAACCCATTTTATTTTGCATTACCTATTGAATCGAAATCCTACCTATCATGTTAGGAATTTTTTAAACCACATATCCAAATTCATTAAATAGCACTTCGGATTTAGTCTAATTGGAATTTCTCTTTAAGTTCATATCCTACCATAAGCGATACTAAAATGGTGTTTTTTATGACTACTTGACCAGACAACAACAAAAAACAGCCACAATTACGCTAGGCGATAAAATACTCCATAAATAGACACTTTAAGTCCTACCAATTGACTATCCATCAAACAAGTAGGAAATAAAAGAGAACCTATGTGATAAGGAAGGGAAAGCTATATTTGCAACTATTTCAGCTGATAAATTTTTTCAAAGAAAGCATTAAAATTGCAATTTAGGTCAATAATTGGTTGAGGGATCAAATATTAATATTCAAGAAGTGACGAATAGTGATGGAAGCAAACTGGGAGCCATGTGCAAGAAGATTTGTCAGCCTTACTGAAGTCTACTATGAGGTTGAGGTAATAATTAAAAATTAACATTTCATGAAAATTATCATGTTTCAATATTTCAGTTTGTGGGGTGTGCGATAGACTTAACTTCACGTGGTGCATCTGGGTAACGTATACTCATACGGCAAAAAAGTCCATTATTCGGCAGTTG